ATAACGAGCAAATTTTCTTTGGTGCGTGAAGGACTTTTGACTCTTATCTATATTGGATATTAAAAGATTTTTTTTTAAAAGGCATTCTGAAGAAAGACAACTCAAAAAAAAGGTTCTGGGATTGGATTGATGCTTTGATAATATGTATGTTGTCCTATATGAAAGTAACAAAACCTTAAATACAAACTCATTGAAAAAAACAATTATAAAAAGTAGAGGATTCAATGTTTTGTTAAGTTTTAACTTTTTACTCTTTAAATCTTAATTAATAGAATTTTTACTAATTTAATTGGCAGTTTCATATTTAACTTCTGAATTAGTAGAATTTATGTTTTTACTAGAGAAAATAGTAAAATATTTTGAAATTGTATTACTAATTTAAATGATAACCGTAAACTTACTATAATTTAATATGAGTTAAAAGTGCACTTGTGAAATGTAACCTCAATACATATCCCCCCCTGTACTTAAATAAGTGTAATGTAAAGTATAATTTTTGAAACAATGGCATTATTTTCAAGTGTTTAATTATATCATTGAAGAATGTCTAATAGATGTTGATGATTCAATACATTGACGTGGTTTGACTCTTTACATTTTACACTTAATATAGTTGAAATTAAGATTGATATCGGAATCATAAAAAAAATTTTAGATTATGTTAAAGTAATTAAAATTTAAGTAGGAATTCTATTAACAAATAATTTAATAATAATAAAATAAATAAATAAACTAGTAAATTAATAAAATTTGGCTCTTTTTTCAGTTATTTCTTACTAATAAATAGTTCTTTTTCACTAATTGCTGAAGTAAAAAATGAGTTCTGATTATACTAGTAATTAGTTGTTTTTAACTTATTCAAATTTGGACAGTTATGAAGCTTAATACTCAGTAAGATATCTTTAATAAAGTATAATACCTACTATGTATTTTTGTAATATAATGTATTACATGTAATAAGTGTAATAATATCTAATAATGGTAATAAAGAGTCAAGTATTACATTTTTTTACTAGTAAATTCCCCTTCGTTTATTGTAAATAAATTATAAACAAAATACAAAATTGATTATTTGAAAATAAAGTATACAAAATACAAAGTTCGTTTAAACAATAATTATAGAAAAAGTAAAAAAAAATTAATTAAAATAAAAAATTTTACTTGAATACCGATACGAAAGTTAAGTAAATTTTAATAATATTTAAAATTGAAAAATTAGAAACTTATATATTTTATTAAACTTAAATTTTATTGTATTTCATTTTGAATTTATTGTTAATAAATTTCTTGTTTGTGAAGAGGAAGTCTGTGCTAATACTTACAGACAATTTTAATTAATTCATTATAGCTATTTCTTTTAGTAATAACTGGTTGATGTAGTTCATAAATTAAAATTTGTTAAGAATTTACTCAGGGTAACTTAATTTTTTTTAAATTGCATTTCGGCAAGCACATACAAAATTTGTTAAAGAAAATGTACTTATAAATTCAATGCTGAAAATTATTTAAACAAGATAATAATTTCAAAAAATATTAAATTATTTTCTTTATTTTAGTAAATAAAAAATGAAATTTATTTAGGCTTTAAAGTGGATCCAACCGTACCCTTAATACTACGACCCTGAAGATTAAAGTGAGAACTTGACGAAGTCAAAGAAAACGAAGAAGGCGAGGGGAAAGAAGTAACCACTAAGACGAGACCTGAAGGAAAACGGAAAAAGGCTATTGTCTGTACAGGGGTATTATTTTCTAATTTTAAAAGCATACCGATGCAATAAATCGTAAATTTTTACTATTATGCAATTTGTTATTTTAACAAGACACATTGACCGTCCATATTTAAAAAATGTATACTTAACCGTAAATTTTTACTATTATGCAATTTGTTATTTTAACAAGACATATCGACCGTCCATATTTAAAAAATGTATACCTACTTAACCTGAGACCTATGGTCATTACATGTACATAAACGTTTCGCCCAATTATTGTTAATATTAAAGAACTTTATTTATTTTACAAAAAATTTATTGAAAGTTTGTTTCGAATACCCATAGGTTTATTAGCATCTTGAAAAATAGTTAAGAGGCTTGTAGTACCGACTTGAAATTTATACCTGGGTTCGTACGATATAGTGGGAAGTGTTCTGAAAATTTTGTGACCTTCTTGAGCAAAAGCGGTGGAGAAGTTTTCAAGATATCACGCCCGCAATACTTTTACTACTATCTGCATTAGGTTGGTGGTAACAGCAATATATGAACAACCAATTTTTGTAAAAAAGTATAAGTTACTATACTTTTAAAATAAAATTTTTTTATAAAATTACCTGTCATAGTTTTGGAGAAATAACAGTTTTCAAAAAACCTTCTTTTTCTCTATCTACTTATTATCGAATTGTCCTCTTAAAAAAGAGAATACTGTATTTGAACCAATAATTTCTGTATTTGAAACAAATACCTTTTAATTGATTCAAATAATAATTATTTGATAATAGTCAAGTAATCGATTATTTGAATCAAATAAATTTTTTTTCCAGTTCGTTATAGGCAGTTTGATCCTCCCCCTCGCCCTACAAGTATGACGTAGTTATGAATGATCCCTTAGGGACACATGTTTTAACTGTATACTGACAATGAGTGCAAGTAAACGACCAAAGTAAGGGTTAAGATGCACCCCAACCTGAGCTACACAGTTTTCAAAAGCTTAAAAATATACGGTAAGTTTAATACTTTCACCATTAAGTAAGTATACAGTGCAAACTTACATTCATATTACATAGTAAGCTTACTTTAAATTTACAATATAATTAGGGGATGTAGGGGCAAAATGGGATAGCTAAAGTTTGAAGTTCAATTAAACTAACATTATTATAGGTATCAGTATTTTATTATTTATTGGAATAATAATCTTTGAGAACCAGTCTTCAATTATGCAGTCTTAATGTGAACATTTGTTACATAATAATATATAAAATTAATAAAATTGAAAAAAGTTACATATCTCCATTTTACCTTCCCTGGGGGCAAAATGGGATACCTTAAGAAGCAAGCTGAGGTTTCCAAAAAAATCAACCTATTATTGCTTGCAATTTTCAAAAGTGAAGGTTGCATCTTCACCTTTTTTTCCAAAATCATTTGAGGGACAGAAAATATTTTTGCTGCTAAATTGAAACCCATTTTTTGCCCACCGCATTTTTCATGCTCTCTTCTGACCAATTTTCTCTACTTGTCTTTATTTTATAATTTTTTTACCCTTCTACAAGAAAAATGAAACATTTATACAAAACTAATTAACTCTTGTACTTACAATAATGTGTTTTTAATTATATGATAAAATAAACTTCATATCCCATTTTGCCCCCTCATGCGAAATGACACTAAAAAGTTAACCAATAAAAAGTATGATTCAACAAACAATTAAACAAATGTTTACCTGCTAGAGTAATGAGTGACACTTATGAAAAACAAAGATGTTATAAAAAATGCTGTTATTTACAAAATGAACACGTTCTGAACAAAATGTATAAGTTAGAAGAAAATCACCGAACACAGTTTTTTTCATGAAACAACGTGGTAAAAAGAAAAAACGTGGTACAATCGTTCAATGTTTTTATCACCTGAAAACTGTCATATTGGTTAAACATTATGTGCGATACGATCATTATTGGTTCATTGATGTATGAATAAAGGCAACTATCCCGTTTTGCCCCTATGTCCCATAATAACTTATGACAATTACAGATGTATATGTTAACTACACAATTTTAATATAATGTATAGAAAAAAATATTCTTTCTACTATATTTTAATAATAATAATGTAAGTTTACATCGTATACATGGGGTAAAATTCCTGTAGCGTACTAAGTGAAAAAAAAGTTGATCGGATCGGGCTGTAACTTGCACATAGTTTAGCCCTGGGGGTAAGTACTTTAATCACGAAGTATTGTTAGGTTTTTTCAAAAACTGAAGGAGAGGGAGGGGGTTGAATTTTCTTGAAAAATGTAAACAGTGAATTTTTCAAGACTTGTAACTTTTAAACAGAAAGATGAAAAAAATGTGACCTATATGTTTTCGAAAGATTTTTTTCTGCTCTTTTGAATGGTGTAAAAAAATTTTCAAAAAAATCGAAATTTGACCCTTTTTTTGTAAAATCAAAAAAAATGATGACTTTTTTTTAAGTTCGGTCGTTTTTTTTATTTATTTTTTTTTAAAGTTAAAAGTGTGTATTTTCAACACAAAAAATATGGAAATGTCCTTTTTCGTTGTTTTCGAGATATTTATTAATTAATTATTAAAGTTAATAAAAAGTGATATATTTTATAAAAAAAATAAAATTATCGTAATTCTGACGTTACTAAATGAAAGTTGACATAATTCCACATCCAACAAGTCCTATACGAAGTACTTTGGATTAGTGGATTGTTAATAAACAACAGGAATTTTACCCCACATTTATTTGCAATCGTTTTATCCATCAGTATTGAAAATGATTTTGAAAAGTTTATTAATAATAATTATTATTAAATAATTTTTTGCAATTGGAAGTAAGTAAAAAGGTGAATTATTTTCTGAAAATAGATGACAAAATAATAATCATAGTTAAAACCAATATGAGTAAATAGAAACTAGAACCCATCAAAATTTGGATAAAGTTTTCTCCCTGACTTATGGTTACCCTGCATTGTCGCTTAAAACTTATAATTTTTTAAAGTTTTTAATGAATCGATCTTAGGATTTCTTGTTATTGCAAAAAAATGTCTATCCGAAATGCCCTGGTAAAAAAACAAAAATTAACCTTCGTTTATTAGTGTAAGTTGAAATACCAAATATTATTAAAATTGGTTTCGACAATTAAAGATTGGATTTATACATTTTTAAATTAAGAATGTGACCCTGAATTTAGTCTGTGAAAAGACTTTTTATGGATTATATTGTAAAAGGGGAAATTGTATTGTTTAATGTGCTGCAAAGAAATGAATACATAGACGGAGGTTCTTACTTGAGGAAGTATATTTGGCCTTCAGGTGTCCGTGCCTGCTCCCATCCGTGAGGTAAAGGACCGAGGTCATCGACAGTACTGATGACATCGTAACTACGCTGTTTCTGATGGTGATGGTGTCGAGCATGGGGCTGGGGTGCATGTTGTGTGGCTTGTTGTGCAGAAGCGTATGTCTGTTGAAGAGATGCCGGACTGCTGTGAGCACGGGGATGCGCGACTGTCAAGCCTTGGTTCACAGAAGCTGGAGAACCGCCGCTACCGGCACCACTGGTGTTGCTGCTGCTTCCGGTCCCCGAGTTTCCGCCATTGGCTGCAGATCCGGCCGCACCCGCGGAACCAACGACCACCGCGGCGGTTCCGAATGCGGAGTCGGCCGAATTTTCCCGCGAGTGTGCAATGGAGGGACTCTTGCTGCCAGTCGACGGGGGGTTGAAGAAGGAATCCGGCAGGTTTCGCATGCGAAGAGGCACCTGCAGGGGCCTCTTCGAGTCGGGCTTGAGGACGGTGTCGAACAGCGCCTGCAGGTCCGATTCGGAGTTTTGGTCGACCCGAACCACCAGGTTGTTCTTAGACAACTGATCCACTTCTTGCTTGAGCGCCATCTTGGATCCCGGCTCTTGTAACTTGACGGTTCTTGTTTCCTCCTTCTCTCCCTTTCTTTCTCGCGTTCTTTGGCCTCAGTGCTCGAGTGTTTATCGCGATCGTGTGCGTCATGCACACGCACACACGTACCGTCCCCGTCTCGAGTCGCGCACTTCACCTCCTCTTTGCCCCACCCTCTTCGGTGCCAGTAACAGACACTACCTTTTTCAAATATTTCCTTCGCTACCAGATCCTTCTTTTCGGCGAAAAGACTCAATAATAGGTATTCACTAACAATTGCCCTTTTCAGAGTCCGCTCACTGCTATGCAACGCCGATCGCCAAGCACCGATCTTATTGGCCTGCGCTCTTTATCACGACTACCTGCGACTGCGAGAGTGCTAGTCCTCGTCTCTGCCTCTCCACGCTCGTTTCAGCTCCTAACTTCACCTCCTCTCTTCCTCTTTCTCTTTCTTTCCTCCTCTTTTTCCCTGCTTTTAGCACAGTGCTCCCAATTCTTACCTGCACTCAGCCATTACACTGTCTTTAACGGTAACGAATTTCCGGTTCGCGAACAATACCCGCTGATAGTCAAGGAACAAGATTCTGCTTTCTTTTCCTCGGCAAACACTCAAAACATTTGCGGAGAACACTTGTCCGATCACTTGCATTTAAATCGAGTACAACAACAAGTTAAACAACTGTCGATGTTACGCGACACAAACATCACAGGTTTTTAAGAAAGGCATTAGCATTTCATCACAAATTGGTGCCGTTCGCGTTACACACGTCGCCCAAGCACCCAGCCGAGCCAAGGCGAGGCGTCATCGAGGCGTGTTGGCTGGTGCTGGTGCCTTGTGGTGTTGGCCTGTTGCTCTTTCTTGGCAAGTCACTGGCTCCTAGCACGAGGCATCGTGGTGGGGGCACTATCTGACCTGGGTAGACCCGCAATGCGCGACTCACTGTTTTCTCAGAATGATTCCAACTTAAATTCTCCACCAATCTACTCTCAAACTTTATAGCATACATCTAATTTACATAGAAATAATTTCAACAGTTGTATAGCAAATTTACTCTTTAACAAATTGTCCAACCTCCTTTCCAAATAAAAAAACAAACAACACCTTCCTTCTCAGTATTTTTTTCATTTTTCCAGTAAATTTTTTTAAACATTTTTTCTAGTTACAAAAACTTACGATATCAGATACTACTAAAAAACAAAACCTGATTAAACAGGATTTTAATCGATAAATCGATTCACATTTTCGATCATTTTTTTAGCATTAAGGCTCTGCAATCAGACTATGACACGCTATCTGGTGATCGATTGTCAAACTATAACTACACATTTAAAAGTTTCAATATGTGTGTAATTCTTAATATTGTCAAATTAACACATAACATTTTTTTACATGGGTCGAAATTCCTGAAGTGTTTCAATTGCCAAAATGTGAGTATTGCATTTTTTGTAAAATCATAACTATTGTATAACAGGGTGAAAAAATTTTTTACCTATATATGATTTCAAAAGGTTCTTTCCTGCTCTTTTGAATAGTGCAAAAAAATTTTTTAAAAATTCCAAATTTACCCCTATTTTGAAAATTAAAAATATTTTTGACTTTTTTTTAATAAAGGATACTTTTTTTACCCTCAAAATGAAGCTTAGAATATATACTTTCAATACAAAAAAAAACTTAAATGTCGTTTTTTTTGTTTTCAAGATATTAATTAATTAACTAATTAAAGTTAATAAAAAATTAAATTTTTCACAAACAAATAAAGTTACCGTAATTCTGAACTTAATAATTGAAAGATAACGTAATTCCGCATCCAACGATTCCTATATGAAGTATTTTGAATAAGTAGATTGTTAATAAATAATTGCAGGGCCGGATTTATACGTAAGCAAAATAAGCAGTTGCTTAGGGCCCCAGCTTGCCGGGGGCCACCAAATTTTTTTAAAGGATAAATTTTTTTTTCAAATAATGTTTTTTTAATAGAAATTAATGAATGTTTATAAACAAATTATAATTCTAACGAAATTAAAATACATATGATGTATTCCACGCCAAAGTGAAAGTCCATTTGCAACTGCATCTACGAATTGTTTGAGTTTTTTTTCTATTAGTACCAATTGACACTAACTTCCATGAATTTTTTCAAACTTTTTTAGCAAGCAGTTTTCGAATTATAGAATTCTGAAAATTGGAGAATTTTCATGACTTTTAATTTTTGGATGCTTATAACTTCCTTAAAAATGCATCAATTTTAAAACTTTTTTTTCAAATTATTTTTCCCGATAATAGGCAAACAATTTTTATAATATTTTCGGAATTTTTCAAAAATTTTGAGTTTTGAATTTTTATAAATGTTTTTGGTTTTTTTTATACTACGTACTTTTATGTATTTTGATGAGCGGATTACGAAAATCATAGTGACAGTACCCGAAATTTTTATTTTTATGGTGAAAAACATAAAATAGTTCAAAAATTTATGGTTTTTTTTGTTTCTTGGGTAAAATATGCAAAATTAAAAAAAATGCATCAGATATAATAAATGTATTTTAATAAGATCTATAAATTTTGTTTGAAAGTTTTTTTTTAATTTTGCATATTTTACCCAAGAAACAAAAAAAACCATAAATTTTGGAACTTTTTTATAATTTTCACCATAAATATCAAATTTTCGGGTACTGTCACTATAATTTTCGTAATCAGCGCATCAAAGTACATAAAAGTACATAATATAAAAAAATCAGACAAGTGCGATTGCACTCGCATTAAAACCGAGGGTTCCGTTTTAAACTTAAAATTTGAGGGGGTTAAAGTATGAAGGAAGGTGGAAAAATTCCAATTTTTCTTAATTTTTCATGCAATATATGAGCGTAAAAACACATAGCTAGATACATAGTCACATAGATCGAAAATTATCAGTTTTTCCTTCAAAACGCTATGATAATCGCTATATTTTTTTGTAATCTACACGTAAAAATACGTAAAACCCTACTGAAAATTCTCATATACCCAAGAAGCACGTAATATAACGTTGTAATATTACAGTAATCTTACAGTGATCTTAAAATGTCCGCCTCAAGGTAATATTACCGGTAATGTTACTGTAATATTACGCGCTAATATTAAGGTAATGTTACAGTTATATTGCAGTAATATTATACCGTAATATTAAGGTAATATTACAAGAGAATATTACAAGAGAATATTACAGTAATATTATGGGAACATTTCTTTACGAAAAAAATCTACCCATCCAGGGAATCGAACCCCGAACTCAAAGCACACGAGTCCAGAGTTTTAACAACAAGCCAAATTGACTTATAATATATTTACGTTTTTTATGCTTTATGAATAACTCAAATCAGTCGGTAATATTACCTTGAGGCGGACATTTTAAGATCACTGTAAGATTAATTTCTGGTTAAGGATTGAGCAATGAATTTTGGTATGTTTTTTAATGAGAAAACACGAAGGAAATTGACATGAGAAATTGACATAAGAAATTGAAGGAAAAAATGTGACCAGAAAAAATTGTGGGATTTCACATAGGAATTTACATAACTTATTACCTAAGAATACGTTTGTAAGAATTTACATCGAATCCTACTTCAAATCATGTCTCAATTTCCTATCTGATTTTTCATAGGATCCTATATAGTTTCTTACATGACACATTGGATTTTATGTGGATTTTAATATATGAATTTATGTGAGATCCTATGTAAGATCCTATATGAGAATTTTCAGTAGGGAAATGTATAAATTTTAAGCCCTTTAGATAAAATTTTCTTCGTCTTTTGAATAAAATTCATGATTTTTTCTAAAAATATGAGTTTTCCTTAAAAACAATATGAACATCAACTCCAATCCTGCTCGCTATATTTTTCCTGTAATTTACACGCAAAAATATTCATGTACACCAAATATAAACTGTCTTGGTCAAATAGTGTGTTTGCTAGGAAGATTAAACGCTTTTTTTAAAAAATTTTTGATTTTTCCTTGACATCGATTCGAATCATGTTTGTTATATTTTTCCTGTAATTTTCACGTAAAAATACATAAGTGTACCAAATTTGAGCTCTTTATGTGAAAAAATGTGGCCACCAGGGAGGGGTTATTTGTTTTTCAATTGCGAAACATTCTGGTTTGATAATAAAAGTTGGTATAGTTTTACGAATTCCTTTAACTGGAAATATTTTACGAAAACTGAAAATATTATTTCTTAATTCAAATCTACAATTTTCGAACATTTCGTAATTTGCTAAAACTGTACGAAAAAGCAGGAGCCGTGAAAAAAAGAAGAACGTCGGAACCACCAATGGCTCTTTTCTAAGATTTTCTCTCCTTTTCTATTCGAGGGTAGTGGGAGTCTTTCTTAATACACACACATAACTGGTACGCTTTGATTGCCTTAAAATTATTCCTAACACATCCTAACTACAATACGCCCAATCAAAAATTTACTAATGGCGCAGTACTGTCAAATACTGGCGCAGTACTGGAACCCAGTAATAGCGACAGAGTTGGCGTAACTTTGGGATGATAACATTTTACCAGTATTGGCTACCAGAGTTAGCACCAGTATTGGTAACCACTACTGATTCAGTACTGGCCGAGTATACAGGCAGTTTTGTAATTTATTGTATACGAAAAGAAAACTTTGCCTGTAACAGAGATAAGTTTCACTCCAGGTAATACTTTTTTGGTATACTTAGGAATAATAATATATAAAAACAGTTCAGTAAAAATAAAAATGTTTATACTTAATTATATAATGTATATAATTATGCAATTAACTATTTAATTATTTTATTATTCACTTTCATTTATTAATTATTATATCAAATATAAATAAATTAACATTGAATTCAATTCAATTTACATAAAACGAAATTAGTTTACAAATTAACTCATCACAAATATAATGATTGAATAAATAATGAATACTAAATTCCTGAAGTTAGGTACATAATTATTAAAAAAATTATTCTAATTATTTTTAAATTAACATTAAATTTTTCTTTATAATTCACTTTTGGAAAAAATTGAAGAATAACATCCAGAAAGAAATTACAATAATTTTATTGACCATTGAAATATATAAGTTTGCGTAGGTTTAACTATTTTTTATAATTTCTATTAAGAAAGGTTAATTATATATTTTATATTATTGATAATATAACATTTGTGCAATTTTACTTGCGATTGTATTTCATTTTTTAAATTAAATTTATATTATAAATTTTATTTTAAAAAATATTAATATCTTATAAACAAATTTATTTATTTTTAGTTTGATCGTTTAAATTTTTTTTTGGTTTATTGCATATCTGAAAACAAAAAAAAATCTTGCAATATGTTTTAGACTTGGTCTCAGGAAACTTTTTGTTTAAATAATTTTACCCACAGAAAAGCAAAATAAAGTACATTTTAATTTTGAAAAATAAAATCAAATTGAAAAAATTTTAATTAACAAAATATTTAAACAAAAAGATTCATCGGGTTCACTCTAGAACTTTTTGTAAACTAGTATTAATCAAAAAGAAAATCTATTTGAGCCAATACTGGCTCAATATCGGCTCAGTACTGGTTTGCCAGTACTGGGAGGGTAGTACTGCACCAGTACGGATACAATGAAAATACCATTACTGGTTCAGTACAGACTGCCCAGCCTCGGCAGCCAATACTGAACCAGTACTGCGCCAGTAGTCAACTCTGGTATAATACAGAAATTTTTGGTT